ATGCGCGCCGAAGTGGAGTAGTTTTAACTCTATTTTGGGAGTAGATTTTACTCCACTATTTTTACTCTCCCGAGTTGAGTAGTTTTAACTCCTATGGTGGAGTTAAAATAACTCCTTGAAATTAACAGTGTTGTTTTTGATAAGTAACTGACTTAATTTGGATCAAGCTAGTGCATGGCCTTTTCATTTTTGTATATATGCTTGTCCATATTCACCTTTAGTAGGCTACAAATTTTGCATAACCAAATTAGCTTTCGCGTGTTCTGATTGGCTAGTCGCAGAGCAGTAAGGCAACGCAATATGTATTAAAGCTTTTCAAAAGAAGTTGTTAATTAAAGTTGGTTTCAAAATCTGTGAAATATTAAAAAAGTTCTGCCCAGAAAACCTGAAGAAGCACAAAATTTGGTATTTATCTTGAAAGGTAGGAATACTTTATATTATTTTAATGTGTAAAAAATTGCATATTTATTGACAATTTGAAATCAAACCTACTTTAACTGCGAAACGTTTTCTTCAAAATTTGTTTGCCTTAATGCAGCGCTTTTAAATTTGGCAAAAAAACAAACAAATTAATTTTCTAATAAACTTTGCTGTGATACTGAGTTGAAACCTTTTTGTTTTGTATTCCTATACTATGTGAGATTCTACAGCGGATAGTTTTCCGCGTTCATGTTGTGCTATACCGCCGAGTACTGTGTTTTCGAAACGTGTTAAACTCGATTTCGTCTCGATGAAGATTCATCGGATAATCACTTCGCCTTAAGTATCGTGTACATGTTTAATTGTCTTTATTGTTCCGTTTGAACTTGTAATATCGTGTCGTTTGTCCCTTTTTATTGTGCTTGTGCAATTGTCGTTTTTGTTTAATCAAACTTGTAAATAGCGTGTTATCGACCTGCTTATTTTTCAAAGGGGGCTTTTTGACAAGCTGCTGACTGTGCTGGGGTTTGGGCTCTACAGAAATACGCTGACACGTCAGCAGTGTGACAATTATTAGTTAGCGGATGCTTTCCCCTGAACCCTTTTGGTGTTTCATTATATATTCTCCATGGCATATGCATTGGCATTGATTATTTGGCTATAGTACCGCTCTTTTTGTTTTTAAAGATCTTAAAGTGCGGACATATGCATCATGCAAAACAAATATGGACGAGTCAAAGGTAAAATGAAGCTATTACTTAATGGTGTTCATTACTTTATCAAGGTTTTGGGTTTCCAGTGCATGACTGATATTTCCAATTGAAGTTCTCTAGAGTTATGTAAGCCAAAAACGGCAAAAAGTAAGTTAGAGAATATTTCGTTTATCCCACAGCAACAAGGCGCAAAGTGGTGTTTACAAAATCAGTGTTGGGAACAATCAAGTTATCGACGTGTACTGTCAAATGACGTCAGTCTCAGGATGCAAAGGCGGTGGTTGGACACTGGTGATGAAGATTGACGGAAGCTCGGTAAGCTAAAACGAGGCTCTATAGCCAAGATGACGTCTTTCCAGTTGTAAAGGATGAGGTTTGTAACTTTGGAATTGGGGTCATCTTTAGGAATAAGGTCAGGCTGAGGAATCAGATTAAGGATTAGGCTGAGGTGAAGGTCAAAGTCAATCTGACTAAATCTTAGTATTTGTTTTTATAGAGTATTTTCAAATACAGTTCCTCTTACTGGACGAGCAGAAGCACTTACGGTGACAATGCCTATGGGCGAAACGGCGGTTTAGACAACCGACAATATAAAGGATCAACTTACTGGAGAACCTCATTTAAAGAAATTTGTGTTGGTATGAAATATGGTGGTCGTTTAAGAGCATTCTCCTTCTCGTACCCGGCAACATCGTTGTATGACCTGATCGCAGACGGAAAATATCGACAAACTCACGTTGGTCGCGCGCAGTGGAAATCATTGATCAGTGGGTCATCCTTACAGCGTAACTGCAATAAAGAGGGATTTAACATATACGTTGGTAGCCATCACACAAGAGTTCGGTTGGGTCTTGTGGCAAACGAGCAAAATGATTGTAAATCACCCGACTCTTTCATAGGCCTAGGAGCTGGTGGTGGTCTGAATTATCTCTGGCAATGGTGCAGGTCTAATTCGCATACATCTGCCAACGCCGCGGGTAATCTTGCCCAGTGTGGTGCAGACAACGGAAACAAGAATGCCAGAGCCATGGCATACATATTGGTTCGTTAAAAAAACTGAGTGGTCCGATTTACACTAGAGATGGATCAAAACGCATCATCTGTCAGACGAATCATTCGGTCATATGTTGCACGATGCAATATTTTCTGCAACTTGCAATGCAGTTTCTGTCACAGAAGAGCCTTGCCAGCTATAAAAGATTGAAAATTTCTGAGCATGGTCCACGGTTTACTCTGCCGACATTTTTCATCCCGTTTCTTTCATTGTCATCCTTAAGAATATGTTATGTGTAATTCATGAGGAAAAAACAAAAAAAATCATGAGCATGTCACTTATCTTTATATGTGATAAAGATTTCCCTTGATTTACATAAACTTTAACTTTGATTTTCTCGACTTACACAACGTATTTTTTTGAAAATTACTTCGCCAATGAACTTATAAGATCGATCGTTTTTGAAGCAATTTAAAACATTCGCAGTGCGTGTTCTATCAGACCTAAAGATACTCGGCTTCGTTTCGGCAGAGTAGTATGCGGGCCATGTTCATTATTTCTCTGTAACTACGTTTTAGATAACATGACTCACTCATTTGGCTCTGTATATCTGAAGTTGCAGCAAACGTTGCCCCGCGTGACATGACCTTAAAGTTTAGTGTAAACACGATAGATAAACCATCCAGACGAAATAAAATATTGCAGGGAAACTGTGAGCATGGCTCATCGTTTAATCTGTCAACATTTTTCATTATATTTCTTTCAATTTTCATCCCTTAGTGGTTTTGGGAACAAATCACGCCTGATATTTTCCTGATAGCTGGTCTAATGTCGTCGAAATATCTTAATTTTTCCGCTCGCAAAAATTCGTCCAAATTTGGCCGTCTCTAGCGTAAAT